AAAACATACTAGATATACACACAAATCAAATCAAGAACTTCAAAAGTCCTCACAAAAGGTGTCCACTTAATATAATAAGTGGTCTTTGCTTTGCAGAAACATTCCAGTTTTGATTTTTTTATCCTCATTTGGGGCGTGAATATGAGTTGTAAATTCTCAGAAATTCCCACATAATAATGAACATCCCTCTCCAGTGCCTCTTTCTGAAATGATATGTGGGCTGTCAAACTGTCCCAAACCCGAGACCGAGTCTCTGCCCCGTTCCCGGAGCAGCACAACCCAACTTTCTGTGTGCTCAGTTGGCAGATGTGAACGGGGTGATCGAGGAGGAGTTCACCATGGCCCGGCTCTACATCAGCAAGATGAAATCCGAGGTGAAGTCCCTGGTGAACCGCAGCAAGCAGCTGGAGAGCGCCCAGATCGACTCCAACAGGAAGATGAACGCCAGCGAGAGGGAGCTCGCGGCCTGCCAGCTCCTCATCTCACAGGTGGGGCTGTTCCTCCCCGCTCCCAGGGCTCCTTCCTGCCTTCTCCCGAGCTTTGAGGGCTTCCTCAGCCTCTTCCCTCGTGGAATGTGTGTGCTCGGAGCGAGAAATGAGGCTTCAGGGGGCAGAAGTGTCTGTTTTGTTGGGTTTTCTCTCCTTTTTCCCGTTCCTCCCCCTCAGTGTTTTTCAGCACATTCTGTGGCGAGATCGTGTCCTGCTGTCCTGAAGTGTGTTTTGTGGAATAAGGCTGAAAAGGCCATATTCCTCACCGTGAATTTGTATGGGATTTCCATGTCTATTTATATGGGATTTCCTCACCCTGAGTTTGTATGGAATTTCTACAACTGTTTATGTGGGATTTCCATATCCATTTGTATGGGATTTCCATATCCATTTTTATGGGATTTCCTCACCCTGAATTCATATGGGATTGCCATATCCATTTTTATGGGATTTCCTCACCCCGAATTTGTATGGGATTTCTGCACCCATTTATGTGGAATTTCCTCACCCTGAATTTGTGTG